CCCCAAAACCCCAAAACCCCAAAACCCCAATGGATTAATTATATTTTTTTAAAGAAAAAACAAATAAATTAAAAGCAAGCTAGTTCTATTTAAAATAATTAATACAAATATTAGAATATTATAGTCAAATCTAAATTATGCTCTATTTGTCTCCAGTTCTGAAAAATTACTTGTTACCCTAATTTTCTCTTTCGAATGTGGCAAAAGGAGCTTAAGGAGCAGCCTTGATCCCATCATTTAGATTATGAGGATAAATAACTGCCACTTTAGCTAATCCAATTTTATGAGGTGACCCCATTTTGTTTAGTTCATCCTTTCTCATAGATAGGAGATCTTTTACTGTCATGCTTTACCCAAGTTTCTGACCAGCTGCTCCATATTCCCCTCTATTTGTTAGTGAACCTGAGTGAAAATGCTGAGACTCATAGAGTCCCTAGGAACTATCTCTTTCTAAAGAATTTTCATTGCTCCTTTGATTTCTATATAACTAAGGATGATTTCCTTTTACCAAAGAAAAATCCAATTAGAAGTCATACTACTATCTTTGAGGATCATACTTTGAAGGGTTAGTGGAGACGTTATTGAAATGGCTTCCAAATAGTGAGTAATGCTTGCCGAAATTATCAGGTATATAGTCAGGCCTTGGTCTTAAACCAGAGAAACTTTTAGTCTTATCATATTAAGGTGTATTGTTATAGTTAATTTAATTTTGATTTCCACTCATCAGCATCTATCTGCCAACATTTGAAAGGAAGTCAGAATTCTTTTGTTTATGGCTTGAATTAAAGCTATATGTGTCTGATGGTGTATTTAATTGATTTTGCTAAAAAGTGGTACCTACAAAGTGCTTCTTCATAAATCTTTACAAAGGAAATGAAGGTTAGTCAATGAGAATTTGAGTTGGAGCCTTAATCTCAACCTATAACATCTTATCAAAAAGGCTCTTTCCATGGCCAAATTTTTAGTAGGGTTCATACACATACATTTCATGCAATTTCACTTTTCCTGTGCCAAGAGGGTCATCACTTACAATTAGATAGCCATAACATTTATTTTCAAAAGCTTTGATATATATTCTGGAATCGCTGGGTAATTCATTCAAGGTTTATGGAATATTTACTCCAATATTTTTCTAGAGTAATTATCGCATTTTTAGGATAACATCCAATATAAGGTTAGTGTTGACGTATTCTTCATCCAAAAGATGTGTGAGCTTGATTGAAGAGTAACCATCTTTGTTGCAAAATAGCTCTCCCTGGACATTAAACTTGAATTCCATTTATTATTCAATTTATTCTCAAAAATATATATTATTGTACTTCTAACCTAATTATTTTACTTCTCATCTGTTAAAACCCATCCGAACTCCACAAATTTTATAAAATGGGGTTTTGGGGTTTTGGGGTTTTGGGG